TCCATGAATCACAAGTTTGTGATTGTCTTGTGCTTTTACTTTTGAACAGTGCTATTCCTGGGTGGTATTAGATAAAAGTTGCACATGCCATCCTCTAAGGTAGGGCGTTTGCTGGAAAACCAGTTAGAAAATGAGTTTTCTAAGGACAGATTGTGGAGGCCAGCCTACAGAGAATTAGCAGTGTAAATATAGCAGTTTGGAATGGAACTGCTGTTAAATGCTTCAGAAATTAGAGTAACATCCATTTAAGTAGCATTTTAGCGTTGCATAAGCACAATGAATTGGAGCAAAGACCTCTAGCACCTTTGAGGATAGTTAGGATATAGGTTAGATTGTGTTGAGTCCTTTAGCCTGGTTTTTAAGGTAAATTGCTAATCTTTCACGGTAAGTAAGTGTAGGGAAAGATTTGAAAGCTAAAATTTTAACTGTAAAAGTAACATAAATTTACTATAAAGCAATTAAAAAATAATTTAATCTTTGGTTTTTTGTTTGTTTTTTTTTTTTTTTTTAACCAGTACACATTACCTTTGGAGTTGATAAATCAGCAAAACCTGACTGAGTGGATAGAAATCCTGAAGACTGTTGTTGATAGGGATGTACCAGCTGTAAGTGGCTTTTGGCTATTTATGTCTTTAAGTATTTTGCATTCACTAGAATTATTTCTGCATTCTTTTTTTCTCTACAGGTGCCAAGAAAATAATAAAAAGATTATGCTAAATGGGGACTTTCAGACAGACTAAACAAATTTTTTAAATATGTAGTCTGTGTGCAAGTTCTGTTTTAAAATTATAGTAAAACTTATTTTGGCTTCTTGTTTCAAAAATTTACTGATCATTTAGGCATATTTCATGGGATTTATTATTAGATATGCTCTACTTCATACTTCTATTAAGCTAGAAGTTAAAATGGCAGGTTAAAAGCAACATATACTATGTAGTTGTTCCAGTTACATATAATTTGAACTCTTTGTGAATAATTGGTAAATAATGTCTTTTTTTTTCCGTAAAGGAAACCCTTCAGGTTGATGAAGATGATAGACCTGAGTTGCCTTGGTGGAAATGCAAGAAGTGGGCTTTGCATATCTTAGCTAGGCTCTTTGAGAGGTATTTTCTCTTCCATTATTGTTTTTTAAAAAACCCCATGCCAACATTCAAGTCAGTAATATTGCTGCACCCTTGAGTTTACGTACTTTCTTCTAATTCTAGGTATGGAAGCCCTGGTAATGTTTCCAAGGAGTATAATGAATTTGCTGAAGTCTTCCTGAAGGCCTTTGCTGTTGGTGTTCAGCAAGTAAGAAACACTGAGTGTGGCGGGAGTATTGAGATAAGTTTAGAGTTAGTACTGGTGGCTTATTTCCGTATTTGCTGAAAAGGTTTCTTGCTCTTACTCACATTTTTTTCCTAGCACATTGGTATGGAAAGCAGTGATGTCTATGGGCTTTAAAAAAAGACTGGTAAATAAATTATCGATTTGCCACATATCACAATCCACTTTTCACTTAAAAGCCCTCAGATGAGCTTCAGACTAATGCTGCAAATGTTTTTCCTTTCTGGAAGAGATGGGTATATGTGGTGTTAGTTGACCTTCAGAACTACCTTTTAGACTCGGATAGAGGGTTTTTTTTGGCTTCAAGACTGTAAATGCTAAATTTTCAACGTTCTGCAAAAGCCTGATCAAGCAGAGCCTCTCTTATAGACAGGTAATTCTGATGTTCCCTTTCCATTCATCTCTCTGTTTTGGGGTTGCCACTTGTGCCATGTTTTAGAGTCTGCTGTATGCTAACAATCTTTGGATTAATTAAAAACCTCAGGTATGTTTTTATAAATTTTCCTCATATTTGGATCATAAATATCTTTAAGGTGATTATATTGCAAATGTAAATAGACTATTGATTTATGAAAATTTCACAGTGTGAAATGTTTTCTTCAAAGCCTTTGAGTCAGAAAAACAGCTCTTAGTTTAGTTTCAGTTCTCTTAATTTCTAATGAAATTATAATGAATCACAGGACTTTAAAAGAAGAAATGTAGGGAAAGTATCTTCTAAATCCACGCTTTTTGAAGGTTGGCCTAAGTATGGAAAGCATTTTTCACATGGAGTGTGAGGCAATATATCCCAACATTCTGTTCAGGAAAGTGGTGTCAGCTTTGCTTCCTGAGGTGCTCACCTGGCACCTCTAGGTGACATTAGACAGATCATTATTGCATCTTCTTTAAGGCCTTACTGCTTGCTTTGCACTTCCAAGATAAAATGAACTTCTGACAAAGGGCTATGGCCAAAAGTACTCTTTGGAAAGCTCATTTTAAGTTTGACAAAATACTTGTTTTTCTTTACGTTCTCTTTGAATCAAATTTTATCCTTATTGTTTTTGCAGCTAGTAAACTCCTAAGAATTCAGGTATTTAAAGAAAACTGCTAAAAATTCAATACTTTGGTAGGCCTAGTTTGTTCCTCAACATTAATGTAACTTGTTTAGGAAGACAGACTATATTAAGGTTCTGCCCTCTGTTTTTCTGCAGAAGATAGAACTTGGGCCTCTGCTTAGGACATAGAATCTGTCAAATAAATGCTGTGGAAGATTTCTGAGCAGGATGTGTTTCTTTACACAAATTGGAAATCCATGAAATACTGAAGAATACAAATTTGGATAACACATTTCATTGAGTTCTCTCTACTCTCCAAAGTGTTTGCACCCTTTTAGTAAAGGAATAATAGATAAGTATAAAGCATAAGACTACAAATGGTTCAAGTATAAACTTGAAATATACTGCTAATATTATTGTCATAATTACATCTCATTGATTAGCCTCCACACCTCTGGAAAAAAAAAAAAAAAAAAAATCCTGTACATTCAGCATTCACTTTAGCTAAACTTTCTTACCTTGTCCAAACCAGGCTGAGCTGCCTAGCTGGAATACCCTGAATTTACCCCTTGTGTTAGCAGCTGTTTTGCTCAAGACACTTCTCATGAGCCAGAACTAAGCCCTGGTTGGACACTGCTGCCTTGTAGCTCCTTGGCACTGTTATAGAATTTTATTTTACTTGCCCCAGAGTGTCCACCCTGCTTGTCCTTATTGCAGGTCTTAAACATTTTCTTAATTTTTAAATATCTTTACCTACTACATCTCAGTCACGAAACTACATGCATCTCCTTGAATAGTACTAAAAAAACCTGCAAGTTTGAACTTGTTGCTCTCTTTTCTATCCTAACTCAATACCTAATGCCACAAAACCTTGTACTCAGGTGTTGGTATCAAGTAATTTCTCTCTAAAACCTGACGGTTTTTAAACACGAGTAGTTCCAACTTTGGAAAGTGATAAAGCATCTAGAGCATAAAACTGTTTTTAAAGCTGTAACTATTTTGATGAATGAGTGCATCATCCTTAAACTGAAGTGCAAGACAATTCCTTTGGGAAGAACACTTCAGTCTTTGTATAATAAATGGTATCAACAGTATTCATTTTCAAAATAAAGAATCTTGTTTTCCCTAGATGTTTAATTTGGTAGCATTACAGATTGATTGGTATTTTTCCAGCTTTGGGTTTAGATTTAAAAAAAGATGCTTATTTTATGTGAAGACTTAAATGAAATCCTGGAAATGGAATTTGCCATTTTTCTCCAGCTAGTGATGCTGCTTCTGAAGGTGCAGTGTTTCCACTGACCTGGATTGGGCTAAGGGAATTCGCTCTGCATTACCCATGCAAACCTCCCCTGCGAGCTGTAATTTAATTACAAGTCATGGTCCCGTGTCCTTTTCATGACCTTATTTGTGGAGAGCCATGGACTTGAGCACAGGTAGATCCCTGTGAAGGAGTTCTGGGTGCCACCACAGGAGAAGAGTTGAGGCCAGAAAGCCAAAGGGAGTGACTGACTGATGAATCACTCCACACACACACAGTGCTCACACAGCTGGGTGGCTGTGAAGCAGCACAGAGGCACAGATCAGTAGACTGAGTGTAGAGTGTTCTTATCCAGTGGCTGGGTGTGAATTTCTGCCCCCAAAGAGTGAAGATGGAATAATAAACCTCAGAGAGCAAGGCCCCCTGGGGTGTGTTGGTGGTGAATTAGCATGTATGGTTTGTGTTATTAAAGGATGGTATTTTTAAAAGATGTGCAAGAACCCAGTATGAGCTGCAAATTGTCTTATAAAATTAACAATGACATTTGTTGAAGGCTTAGTCAGTACCCATTTTAGCCTAATGAATAAATGGGGGATTTGTTCAATTTTGAGGGGGTCTTATGTAGGCTTGTGAGGGAGGGTAGGATTGTGGTGAAAATGGGATGTGCTCAATATAAGCTACTGATGAGATCTGATTTCTCTAGGTGCTGCTGAAGGTGCTGTACCAATACAAGGAAAAGCAGTACATGGCTCCTAGAGTTCTGCAGCAAACGCTAAATTACATCAATCAAGGAGTGTCTCATGCAGTCACCTGGAAGAATCTGAAACCTCATATTCAAGTAAGCCATTTTGGAGGCTTAATACTTAGATGACTCAGAAGTACATTAGTCAGTCTACTGTACAGTGTTTCCAGCCCTGCTACAATTCACATTTTAGGCACTTCTCTTACAAATTGCTAGTGGAAAGAGTTTAAGCCAATTTAGTGAAGGTTACCTTGAAATATGAACAAAGCCAGCAAATTGATTGCCGTCTTTCCTTTTTGTTTTAATTTATTAAAGATTACAATCTAATACAGTATATTTGGAGATGCTGTTAGCTGCTGAATTTATGGCATTGCATCATCTCCACATGCCATTATCCAAAGCCAGTCTGGTATCTTGTGTTGTATTGTAACTCTACCTAAACACAAAAGATCTGCTTTTTTGTAAAGTGCCACATAAATCCACCCTAAATCCAAATAGTTTTAGAATGCTACCATTTTATATGAGGAAGTGACAGGATGGAGAAAATCTGTGAAACACAGGACACAATATAGAGATTGATTTAGTAGTGGTAATCTGTTTTCAATCTCTTTTTTATTCAAGGGAATCATCCAAGATGTTATTTTCCCATTGATGTGCTATACAGATGCTGATGAAGAGCTTTGGCAAGAAGATCCATATGAATATATCCGCATGAAATTTGGTGAGCATTTGAAATTTGCTCATGTTAAAAAATTATTTCATGCAAAGGATGGGATTTTATGGGGTGTTTTTGTGAAAACTGAGATGGCTTTAATTTTTAAAGAAAAAAACCCCAGAGAAACACAGTGTATTAATCAAATAATAGAAGTTGGACATATTGGTGAAAAGGAGAGAGGATACAATAGTCAGCAATGACACAGGAGTTTGTGCACTTGCGAAGGTATTTCATTTTTACAGTTACAGACTACTGCAAGTCAAACAGTCTTGGTCTTGCTAGCTACAACTACATAAATTCAATGTCATTTAAAAGTTATGCCATAAACAGCTAATATTTCAGGCCCTGGATTTCTTAGGGAATTTCACCCATGGCACAGTTCAGAGCAGATTTACCCAACTGGTAAATGACACATTATGGAGTAAGCCTGGCATTCCAGACTTGTCCCATTTCACCTCCTGTGCTCTGCTACTTTATGTTGGGGTTTATTCTAAGTCTGTGCAGTCCTCTGATGCTGGGAACAAAAAAAAAAAAAAGAACCTTCAGACTCCCTGAACAAATTCTTCCCTTCACTAGGAATGTTTATATGGCTAGAACAAGGAATCTTGAGGGGTTTGGGAGTTTTTATCCTTCAGGTCAGAGGCATACCTATAAACACTACAGATGTTACACAAGGCTCTGATAATCCTCTTCTGCAGAGAAATGGAGCATTTTTTAACCCAATTAATTCTGTGTGCTGGCCTGTAGAGCAAATAACATCCATGTCAAAACTTGACTGTTGGGTCTGCTTCTAACTGTTAAAAGTATTTATCTTAAAAATAAGAGACAGAGAACTTCAGATTAGACATGTAGACGCAGTCATCATGAAAAACATGAAACATATGTATCCAACTACGTGTTACTCTTTGAACTTGGACTGTCTCTAGCTGGAAAGCACAATTAACCACCTGAAGGGGGCTCTTTTTTTCATGTTAAAAGCATTGGGATCATGAACTATAGTAAAGGACCAGAATTTAAAACTGTTACAATGTTATTTAACAGATGTATTTGAAGACTTCATTTCTCCAACAACTGCTGCTCAGACATTATTGTTTACATCGTGTAGTAAAAGGAAAGAGGTAAGTGTTTCAAGGATTATACTGAAATACCACTAGCTAAATTCAGTTTATTTACTGAAAGAGCTATTAATAAAAGTTATACTTTTCTGCTCTCGTCTCATAGTATGCTAAAATTTGAAATTCCAAATTTATTTTGCACTGGTGTATTTATGATTTTTTGTATTTGCAAATTCCCCTAGGGTCCATTCTTGATAGAATATGGTGTGTTTATAACAAAGACATGAAACATTGTCCAAATTCCAGACTTGGAGCAGGCTTATTAGCATTTCAGAGCACGAGAATGGTACCTGGGATGATTGATTGGAATACTCTGAATAACCTTACCATATATTCTAGGTCCTGCAGAAGACAATGGGCTTTTGCTATCAGATCCTTACGGAGCCAAATGCTGATCCTCGAAAGAAAGATGGTGCTTTACATATGATTGGTTCTTTGGCTGAAATTCTCCTAAAAGTAAGCAGAACAAATCTAGTTCTTTTCATCCTTTTTTTTTTTTTTGTCCCTCCTATGCTTTCTCTAACATATAGTGCCTTAGAAGAAATGCAAATAGTTCAGAGTTCACAAGTTTCTGAACTGCTGCCAGTTTTTTTTTAAGCTGTTGAACTTAATTGTTTTGGGTTTAATGTCAGCTTAATTACTTAATTACCAAAGTTTTATAGGTCATGTTCAGATTATTAAGTTCCTTTAAGTTCTCTGCTTCTGGTGAGAATTACTACCCCATGTCTGTGCTTCAATTAATTACATTCCCTTTTTTGTAGGAAAAAATTGCATCCAGTGAGAGGCTGTTTATTTAATGGACTGGGTTTTGTGTCTAGAAGAGAGGAAATAAAAAGAAATTAGAGATGTTGCTCAGTTAAAATGGTAGCAAAATAGATGAATGGCATGGTCTTGTATTTGGACTAAAGCTCTAAGCAGTTTCCCTGACCACTTTTACTTTTGGTGCTAATGTGCTGCTCACTGAAAGGTGTCTCTTGGGGTCAAAAAATGGCTGGGGAAAATGGTGTCACTATTATTACTGAAAATTCAAAAAACGCATGTAGGATACTAGTTTAATTACTAATACAGGAGATCATTGTTACCTAATTGACTTTAAAAAAAGGATAAATGAAAAGTCTGAAGGTTACACTCCTCACACTTTCATGTGTGACTTTTTTATTGGGCTAGAAATACATTTTTATATGAAGTTTTAAACTGATGTGCCTCCCTTCATATTTTGACAGAAAAAGATCTATAAGGATCAGATGGAATATATGTTGCAGAATCATGTGTTCCCTCTCTTCAGCAGTGAGCTGGGTTACATGAGAGCACGGGTAAGGAAGTGTGGCATTTACTGGTAAGATACACTGTTCCAGCTGAAGAATTCAGAAATCTGCAACTTCTCCCCTCTCACAGATGCTCTCCTTTCTGCACCTTTTTCATAATAAATGGTACACTTACTCCAGAGATGAGTACCAGTTTTTGCATGTGATTATAGATAGCCCCTGTGTAGTTTTGAAATGGCTGCAGCGCTGTGTGCACAGTCTCCCATCTGTGTCTGGTGGTAGGGTCTGTGTGTGTTTTGCACATAGACTGTACTGCTCACACAAAACCTGTGGCCAAAGATGAACCTGAGATCATAGTACTGGTTTAGTGATGTCTGCCCGCTGACCAGCCTCCACACTCTCAAACATCTTCATCACTGAAAAGTCTTCTTTATTCATCAGCAGTTGCACCTCAGATTCAACAATTTGTGTAGGTTACGGGTATACAAATAGTTGATAATCCTGTATGTAGGTTTTGGAGCTCTAAATTTCTTCAATGTCTTTTTTTTTTTTTTTCAGGCTTGCTGGGTTCTTCATTATTTCTGTGAAGTCAAGTTTAAAAGTGACCAGAATCTCCAGACAGCCTTAGAACTCACGAGAAGGTGTCTGATAGATGATAGGGAAATGCCTGTGAAAGTGGAAGCTGCAATAGCTCTTCAAGTTCTCATCAGTAATCAAGAGAAAGGTAGGAGCCTTTTCTTACAGCTGTGGGAAGCTTTAATGCAATAGGTGTTAACTTTGTGATGTTCAGGCAGACTTGATTTCTTCTTCCCTGATGTTAATTTCCCTCTTGCAATTGTAACTTGTAATCATTTGCTATAATTTTTCAGCTAGAAAAGTTTAGTTTTTTAAATAAATTACAAAATAAATTGCATTTTAACATAAGACATGAGGATTATTCAAACATGGTAAACAAGAGCTTCAGGTAGAGTAAATCCAGTTTTATACCACCTAATAATTGAATCAGAAATACAGTGGTAATATCTGTCTTGGCATATATTAATTCATGTTAAAATTTATTTAAAGGCAAAAAAAAGGCTGTCTTGATCCAGGCAGGTTTTACATGGCTTAGTATTCCTGAAGCTGGCATAAAGGCCACAAAGCAAACATAAATTATATATTTAATACTTCAGGTAATTTGATAAATGTGTATATGTACCATTCCCATTCAGTTAACATTTGCATTGATCAGTAATATTGTATTTTATTAATTCAGACTACAGTGCTGTGGTTTTCATACTTAAATTTTGATCCTCTTGTCATATATTATTAAAATTTGTTCTGAATGGCAGTATCGCTATAATGATTTATTCTACTCATGGTTTTGGCCTGTTATTGCTGAAGCACTAAATAAAGTTCTTTGAGGTACAGGTTCTTAAACTCATCTGTGGTTTTCTAAGAATGTTAATTCAATCATTCCACCTGTTTTACAGCTAAAGAATATATTACTCCATTCATTAGACCTGTAATGCAAGCTTTGCTTCATATTATAAGAGAGACTGAAAATGATGATCTTACTAATGTGATTCAGAAGATGATCTGTGAATATAGTGAAGAAGTTACCCCAATTGCAGTAGAAATGACACAGCATTTGGTGAGACTTTATGGTGGCTTGGGAAGATGTTTAATATGGGAAAGATTGGTGTTTAAATTTGATAGTTGAGTTTGACCATCAATTAATAGCTGTTGTTACTCCAGCCTGTTTAAGTGCATTGACACATGTAATTTTCTTCTGCATTTAGACAGTTTTTCATCGGAAGTGTCTTCATAACTTAAACCAACTAGAAATTTCTAGGAATGATTCTAGAAATATTTGCCACATAATTTCCTCCTGATAGTGGTAATAATGAGATTGGTAGCACATTTTAGGTAGTTTCTAAAATGTCACTTACGTAGTCTTCTTTAAAACATTAAAGAGTAGATTTTAAATGAAAATTTTGGTGTGAAAATAAAGTTGAATCTGCAGGAGAAATTCAGAGCTTGAATGGCCATATCTAGCAAGTTGTATTAATGGTTGCAAAAGCAGAGGTCAGCTCAGTGCTTCCCTATTAAAGGTCTTGGAGTTAAAATGGAATTGTTGGAGTGTCCTCTCTGGGAATGCCTGCCAAATGTTCCAGTCTAGTTCAGTTACTGAGGAAACCTTGTGTCAGAAGAACTTACCATGGGAAAATGTATTTTTTTGCATGGGACATAATGTCATTTATATATTTTTATTTAGGAGTAGATAAAGGGTGACAGTTCCAATGGTTTAACATCCAAATTTTATCATCCTGAGAAGAAATTCTGGAGCAGAGCAGAATAATAAAAATAACTGCTATTATTTGTACACATTTTGTCAGCAGAAGTCCTTCTGAAATTGTGGAGAGTGACAGATTATCACAATTTAATGACATATTTATGGGTTATTCTACTATTACGTGCAGGCAATGACATTTAACCAGGTGATCCAGACTGGGCCAGATGAAGAGGGTAGTGATGACAAAGCAGTGACAGCAATGGGAATCTTGAATACTATCGATACACTTCTCAGTGTAGTTGAAGATCACAAGGAAGTAAGTAAAAATTACTTTCAAGCTGATATGTATGGTCTAAGAACGCTGTAAGTCTTTTGTAGTCCTAGCATTGTTAGCTGTAAAACTGTCCTTTTGGCCAAAAATATGTTAAAACAGGAAATAGTAAAGTACTTAACATGTAGCCAAGTTATAACAGAGTGGGTCACTTTTCTTATGCAGTGCATGCAGTAATAGAGCATAAGTGTTGCCACAGGATTTCCCATAAGAATCCAGCTTCTTGTTCAAATGTGTCTGTAGCAGGTGGAGCTCTCTCAGCTCAGCTGGAAACACAGATCTGATTTGATGAGGTCTGCCCTTCAAACAAAATAGATGAAGCTTCACATAGCTGCAAACATTGACTCTGCTGACTGAGTTTGCTCGCTGTGACAGAATTGACGTGGGTAAATACAGCTCTTGTGGCTGTGCTCAGAGATGGGGGATTTTACCTGCCTCATCTGCCCTGGGGAATTTTCCTTTGGAATTAAAACTTCTATCATTTTGTTTTCGTGTACTGAATGGAGCCACTTCTGTGCAGAGTACAGCCAGTTCAAAAGATGCTATTTCTGATTAAAATCTTTCTTGACAAAGTAAGCTATGGTATTTTAATAAATACATTACAGTTTTTTAGTGAGTAAAGAGTTCAGTAATAAACTATAGGGCTCTGAAGACTTCACTAAAGAAGCAGCATCAAATTCCCAAGGGAATTCCCAAGTATACAGTGCTGTTACACCAAGGACCAGCTCAGCTCATTTACTTGTTGCTAGAGCTGCTTGTACCTGTTTTTGTCAGCAAATCCTTGCCTTCTAAATTAGAAGTCTGTGTAATGATATGCTAGTCCTGAGGAGCTTAGTTTGAAAATGTTGACCAGTAAACATTAATATTTAGAGACATCTCACAGTGTTCCAAGAGATAAAGTATTTAGCAGGTTAGTTTCAAATCCTGTTCTGCATAGCTAAAACCAGAAGCTCAGCCTTTACCTGTCCCTGTGCAAGGTGAGTGCCCTCAACAGGCTAATGACAGGCTAATGTTTTGTTAGCTATTCCATGAACTAACATACACTAATTGGGAACACTGACTGTATCTGTAGGACCAGCATTTGCATTAATGGTCTCCGTGTCATATGAACATCCTAAGCTAGGTTTGGGAAGTGGTTTGGTATTTAGGATTTTTTTTTCAAGTTTTTTTTGTTTTAATTTATTTTCTGGAACAGCAAATACCTCCTGTGATTTCCATTGTTTACTCCTTTCATATACATGTATATTTGCTTACAGTGTTTTAATGGGACTGAACTGATGCAGAGGTTTAGTCAGGCTTTTCTTTTTAAAGGATACCCTATAATGAGATTCTTCCATATTCAAAAACCATCTTGTATTAAACACTATCTTGTATATCCTTAGCTGAGTGATGCTCTTACACATTTAGTGCTCTAAAATGTGAGACATTTCTAATAGTTCTTAAAAACTATATTCTGTATATAGAAGCTACTTTGACAAATTAAAAAATGTGTTTAATTTCAATTCCAAAGTATTGAAAATAGTCATTACCTGTTATTTTATTTTCAGATTACCCAGCAGCTGGAAGGGATCTGTTTACAAGTGATTGGAACAGTTTTGCAGCAGCATGTATTAGGTATCTGTACTTCTGCTGGCGTACTTTTAGAAGTACATGAGATTGGCATGCTATTTACCTAAATTCTGTTTGTTTTAGAGTTCTACGAGGAGATCTTTTCCTTGGCTCATAGTCTGACCTGCCAACAGGTTTCTGCACAAATGTGGCAGCTTCTTCCTCTTGTGTTTGAAGTCTTCCAGCAGGATGGTTTTGATTATTTTACTGGTAAGTACTATAAATAAATTGGGAAGCTAGAGGGTTTCATGGATGCGATTTCAGCCATACAATAAATTGCATCATGACTGAAATGTTAGGAAAACACTCAAGTGAGATTACACTTGAAATATTTTTATCTTGCTGTTACTGCTACCAGACTTGTTTTGCTGAGGCACCTATGATTTGCACACACTTATCTTGGCAAACATTAAGCAAGAACTGTAATTATTACAGACTTTATTCTGATTTTAAGAGCAGGTAGATGATACCTAACTGTGATCATCCTTCTTTTTAATACAGATATGATGCCTCTCTTGCATAATTATGTCACTGTTGATACAGATACACTTCTGTCAGACACAAAATATCTTGAAATGATCTACAGTATGTGCAAGAAGGTGAGTAGATTCCTGTGTGGTAACAAACCTGCCATCTGAAGAAATAACTGTGTTAAACTGGGTACTTTCTTCCACAGCAGCTTTTGACTTCTGCTTTTTAAAGCATTTTGCTATCTAACATCCTCTAAGATTCCCAAAATTACTAAGTTATTGCAGAGAAATTTAAAGAGACTGCATCAAAATTTCAGATACATGCTTTTGGCAGAAGGGAAAAATAAATCCTACATAAGAAAAGCAGAATAAACAAAGCAGGTTTGGTGTAATATGCTTTGTGCATATAGGCATGCAAGACAGATTGCAGAAGGTAGGTGGATTCTTCCCTCTGGGATTTGTAGCCTCACCATGGCCAGGACACACGTGCTGTATGTGTGCTGAAGGTCTGACGCCTGTTAGCTAAGTAAGTGGTGTAGGGATGGAAGGCAAAGGGACAGGAATAGGAACTTGTTTTCCCAAGTTCGTGCCACGTCAGTGGTGAAAGCTGGGAGCAGAATGCAGTTGGTCTGACTCAGTCCAGGCACTTTTGGGCAGGGTTTCTGTGTTCTAGTTTGTATTACTGGGCTTTCTTTGTCCAGTCAAAATGTAGACTACACAGCTTTC